TTTCATACATGGCCTTTATTATGTTGAAGTAGTTTTCTTGATGGCTTTTTAGCCAAACCTCTTTGTATTATTTTTAGTGATTGCTCTAAGGATTATAATACACATCCTTATTACTGTCTATTTGGAATTAATACTTGGTCACTTTACATTTTACTCTGTACACTTGACTCTTCCCATTTCATAAATAAAAAAACTTCACAACGGTTTAATTTCATATAAACATTTTACCTGTTTTTTAAGCTATTGTTTTCATATCTTTTAATTTTTGATGAGTTGTAGATCTCATCATGATGTTATTATTTTTACTTTAAGCAGTTATTTTTAAGGACATTAAGAAAAGAGAAACATATAGTCTTTTATATTTACTCACATATTTACCATTTATGATCCTCTTTTTTCCCTTTCTGTGGATTTTAATTTTCATCTTATGTTATTTCCGGTCAGCCTAAAGGCTATCCCTTAGTATTTCTTATAGTACAGTTCAGTTGGCCACTAGTTCTCTCGTCTTTTCTTTATCTGAAAATGTCCTTATTTCATCTTATATTTAAAGACTATTTTGCTGGATATAAGACATATTCCATATTATTTTAATTCTTTAAAATTTATGAATGTCCTACTTCTGGGTCCTGACCATAGGGAGGGCAGATGGGACACTTGCCACGGTCAGGGATGAGGACAAGAGCTTTTTTTTTTTTTTTTTGAGACACAGTCTCACTGTGTTGCCTGGGCTAGAGTGCCGTGGCATCATCCTAGCTCACAGCAACCTCAAACTCCTGGGCTCAAGCGATCCTACTGCCTCAGCCTCCCTAGTAGCTGGGACTACAGGCATGTGCCACCATGCCCGGCTAATTTTTTCTATATATTTTTAGTTGTCCGATTAATTTCTTTCTATTTTTAGTAGAGACGGGGTCTCACTCTTGCTCAGGCTGGTTTCGAACTCCTGAGCTCAAACAATCCTCCCGCCTCGGCCTCCCAAAGTGCTAGGATTACAAGCGTGAGCCACTGCGCCCGGCCGGGGACAAGAACTTTGAGCAGTGAAGACCGCCAATGTTTAGGGGAGGTGAGTGTTGACATGGACCAACAAAGGGCCAACATGGGCTGACAAAACTGGGAAGGATTAAAGGACCAACACAGTTGATGTTGGCTGACATTGGCTGACTTGCAATGTCACTTTCAAATCTTATTGATTCTACAGCTGGAAAGGACCTTAAAGCTTTTGTCACGTTTCAGAGGTGAAAATTGAAGCATGGAAAGGCAATTTTCTCAGAATCACACAATTGCATAAAACCAGAATCTTGACTCTTCTTTCCCAAGACTCTTTCCTTCCATCGCACCTGCCTGTCCATGAGGGCGAGGCTTCAGAGTGCTGACCCATCTGGGCGGCACATTCCTGAGTGTTCATGCATGTCCCTAGCAAGACCTGGAGCAGCCTTCAGGACAAAGGTTGTTTCAACCTCTGGAGGAAAATTTTCATGTTTTGCATTGTCTGAGTGAAACCCCGTGCACGATGACCTTACAGCATCACCAACCCTCGGAAAGCAAGTAGCAATAAACACCCATAAGTACTAGGTATTGATATCCATCCCCAAGGGAGGACACCCAGGTATGGACACACAGGTTTTGCATCACAGCACTTTGAGCACTTAATAGTAACCACCTTGTCTGATCTATTGCTTTTACATATTGCTTTTTACCTTTTATTTCCAACCTTTTCTAGGCCAGAAGGTACAAGACCAGGAGTATGATTAAGCAACCCAGGGATTTACTTGGTTTGAATTTTATCCCATATGCATCTTTCTTCACATATTGGTATGTATATTAAATATGTATATTAGTAATAATTTCTTGATCCTAAACTTTAAAGAAATTGTCTAAAGCATGGTCATAAAACAATATGATCATAAATATAAAACAATACAGGGCACATCAGCAGTGTCCCCACACCGGGCACATCACAACGACATCCGTGGAGCCTTGGGAACCTGTGGGGATGGTGGGGACTATAATTTGGAGCAAGTCAGTTCAAGTTGCCATCTGTAACAGCTGGACGAGGCACTCAGGGAGCCATATTTCAGGTATATCTCCTTTTAAGGGTAGAGAAAGTAGATGCCCCCTTTTATATTCATCTTTAAAATTTGGAGTGCTTAACCCACCCCAAAGCGAATGCAGGGACCACCCCAAGGCAAACCATCTGCACTGGCACTGTTGCTCCAGCCCCACAGTCCAGAAAACCCCCGAGCCTCCCAGGCACTGACACGGCACGTCTAGCTGGGTCTGCTGCCTCCGTGGGCCCTCACATAGGAAGAGCTTCTTCTAGTACCGGGCAGCCCATCAGCTTGTCAGAATGCACCCACCTCCCTCCCTCCCTTCCTTCCTTCCATCTTTCCTTCCTTTCTTTATTTCCTGTTTAGAGCAATAATACTTTACAAAACAAATAAGTAAGTATAATATTTTTTTCAAAGTAACAAATCCCCTCTTTTAAATTTTTTATAAGAAATCTTTTTAAAAAGTTAATTGTGAAAAGCATTGCCTCCTATTGGAAAAAAGAAGTCTGACCCTTGTCCTAGTCGGCTGAGATGGGAATGGTCATTTGTCCTATGTGTTTCCTTTTTTGCAGCATCGTTTAGGAAGTGACATGGCGGTCCCATGTAAGGGCTTGACCTAAACACAATAGAACAAGAGGAGGAGGAGAGGCTCAGGCAGAGGGCAGAGGTGGGAGAGGCACTTTAGAACTGACCGAGCTTAGAGTGGCCGGCGTGGCCAGCGTCTGGCCGTCTTCAGTCCCTGTGAAGCTTTGCCCTGAGCCTGGCAAGTTTCATCAGGATCCAAGTAACGCTGTGACTCTAGTAATATGTAACATCTGTTAAGCACTACCTATGTGCCATGCCTGATTTATAAGCTTCTACATGAATTGTATCATTTAATTTTATACCAAGTCAAAGAACCACTCCAGGGAAGCCCCAGAACCTGGACGTGCGGTGCCGGCTCTGTCCCCTTGCCCACCCGGGCCTGCCTCCCCGGCACTGACCTCACTCGGCCCTGTCCGTCCTGTCCTGGAACTGCATGGCTATTTCTAACTCCACTTTCCCACCTCCAGCTCCCCATTTCATTCCTGCCCTCCCGGGGCAATGCTGCCTCCGACCAACCTGCCAGTAATGACCTCCCGTTGTCCAACTCTGGAAACTTCTCTCTGGATCTACGGCTCTTCTGCGAAGCCCCTGCTTTTCCTGGCACCAGCAGTGTATTTGTATCCGAAAAGTAAAACAATAACACTACATGTACATGCATATGGGGAAAAAAGTGGCCAAGACACAGACAAACGATTTGATTTTCAAGCCGTGGCTATGGAGACGCCGCTGGGAAGTTCACAGATAGGCCCACCGGCACTTAGTGTCTCTCGTTTATCCGCCGAGTTAAGATGTTTGTGCTAGTAAACTGTAAGTGAAAAAGTCAGAGTTTAAATTAGGCAACGACGTGGGATAACATCAAATTAAAAGATTGTTCTTCTCCTTGGCCGCTCCCTTTGGTTAGCCCAACTGCGAAGTTAGTGTTGACTTTGTCATCTTCTAAAATTTCACCTCTCTGTGGGTGCTTGTATTTCTGGAACATTCACCAAAAATAATAAGGTTGCACTCTCTCGCCTGGTGTTGGCTCTGGGTTGTCTGGGAACCCGGCTTATCGGAGGGAGGTGGCCTCTGGACTTCCCAGTGAAGGGCAAGCGTGGATGTGTGGAAAAGGGGGTGCTGTGCCTTTAAATCCTGCAAGTGAGCTTGGCTCAGGAAGGCCAGCAGCTCAAGGTCCAGCCCCTGGAAGAGAGAAGAGCTACAGATTCTCCATCCTCAGTCTCTGGGAGGCGACGGCTGTGCCAGCCGGGCTCTGGCAGGCTCCTGGCAGCATGGCAGCGAAGCTCGGGGCCCTCCTGCTGGCCCTCGCGCTGGGCCTGGCCCAGCCAGCCTCTGCCCGCCGGAAGCTCCTGGTGTTCCTGCTGGACGGCTTTCGCTCAGACTACATCAGTGATGAGGCCCTGGAGTCGCTGCCTGGTTTCAAAGAGATTGTGAGCAGGGGAGTGAAAGTGGATTACTTGACCCCAGACTTCCCTAGTCTCTCGTATCCCAATTACTATACCCTAATGACTGGTGAGTACCGTGTCCTCTTCTGGGTGGGCAGGGGAGGGCTGGGGTCACGCAGGGAACAGTTGGCTCCTGGCATCAGAGTCTTATTGAAATGGTCAGGACTCCCTAGTCCTATGGGACACCAAAGACAGATAAGGTCTGTGTTCTTGGCCAAGAAGATTTTTGCTTTCACGGTTATGTTGTTCCCCAAAAGTTACCCCAAGGACCTGTTTTGGAGTCTCAGTGTGGAGAATAGAGAACTACAGCGATCGATGGTATTTGATGATTTAAAAAGTGGTTATTTATTTTAGAAACAGAAATTCTAGCTATTTTCCAAGTTCAAGTTTGAAAAATCGACAGGTCTTCATGCGTCCACACCAAATTCCTTCTGTCCCTTTGCTCTGCAGTCATCTGTCATCCCGGAGTCTTTTGGGCTTGTTTATCAATGTGTCGGACTGTGAAAGTGCCCATAGGATTTGTGAGAGGGGAGTCGTGTTCCTGCATTACTTGGGGAGGGTGTGAATTTTCGGGTCATATCATTCAGTGTTACTCAGCAATGCCACTCCCCCCCCCCGCCTTTTTATTTCGCCATTTTTGGCCAGGTAAAATGACAAGGAGAAGAAAAAAACTCTTGTGTAGTTCAGATTCCCCATTTTTAACTTCCAGCATCTGTAAAAAAAACCAAGAAACAAAAACTCAACAAAACAAACACAACCCCAGCTAAGTCAGGCTGTCTGGGTTTGGGAGGGCTGGTTTGCCTGAAGATGACCTTCCTCTGGGATTGCCAGAACTCCAAACGTGACTCACAGACCTGCTCTCCTGTCTGTGCACCAGCGTGTGCGGGTTTCTCTCTGCTCACATAGCTGGGCTCCAAGCTTTGCTTTGTTTTTCAGCTAACCTTTGCGAGGGCAGCGAGAGGCTCTCAGAAAGAATTTAACAAACTATCCAGGGAGGCTGTTAAGAATGCACTGTTATTGCTGGTTATGAGGGACTTAGCCGTGTGCTCTGAGCCCGGGGAAAACTCTGCAACTTATGTTAACAGAAAGGGGATGAGAATCCTGTTGTCTCGTTATGGATTTTCCCAGAACACCAAAGCCTAAGGAGTCTGGAAATACGGGCAAATATTTCTAACTCTGTGCATGGGTACTATATGCATATGTGTACATAAAAAAGCCATAAACTGATGCCCAAAATTGAAGGGAAGAGATACTTTGGAGAATTAGAAATAAAGGCATGGAGAGATAGAAAAAAATTCAGACTGCATACAAGCAAGGAATTTATTTATTTATTTTTATTTCCCCCAACAGACAAACAACCAGTCTGTAACATAAACAGAATTAACAAAAGTCCCTCTCGTCCTTACTTGGCATGCCTCTCCCCTTGCAGGGAAGCGGTTTGCAAGCTGTGGGTCACACATAGACGTGATTGTGTGTCACAGCCGACTTCAGTTCTGTGCAGGGGCTTCACATACACAGCCCACCCCCACTCCAGCTGTCTTGCAGGGCCTTGCTGGGGGACCCAGTTCATAGACTGCCACGTGCAGCTTCTGCGATCTCAGTGGAGAATGAACAAAATCCATTTTAGGAAGGACTTGAGTAAGTAAAAAGGGACTATTACAGACTCTACAGAGAAACCAAGCCAGTGACATGGCCTTTTGTTCGTCAGACCCACCCTCCTGATAATTGGCAGAAGGAATGATTTGCACAAAGCCTCTGTCACATTGAGACACACCTTCTTCTCAGTCTTTGGGTATTTTCCTTTGTGTGGTCCTAAGAGAATAGCCCTTTCCAAGGTGGGACAGTGCAGTTCCCATGAGCATCTGAAGAAGGTCTCGCCCTCATTTTCAAACTGAGGCTGGCTTAAGGAAGCTGCAAGATCTCTGTATGTGTTATGTCTGTATATAGTCAGATGGCAAAATATATTCTCTGATTTGAAAGTCGACTTGGTCTATAAGTTGGCTTTTCCATGTTCATAGAGGCTAGACTGTACACAGGATATGTCTAGCATGGCTCACGTTTATGTACAAATGTCTTTGAGTATGATTTGTCATGTACCTACTGAGCAAACTTCCAGACTTGGAGCAGGATTTGCAGCTGGGAGATGCCAGGCTACGAAGCTCATATCATTTCCCCTGTCTTAGAACTGACTCAGGGCTAAATTTAGACTATTTCCCCCAATATCCATACTTATTTTTCTACCTGATGCTGAAAAACTCTTTTTTTTTCATATAAGGAAGGATATAGCCATTGTGAATTGTACTTAAACATATGGTTTGAGCATTTGAACATTTTATGAACCAACAAAATGGTTATGCTATATCTTTTTGGTACCAAAAGATACGCTGTTTTAGGGTTCCTCAGAATTCACTAGAGAGTCTATACTCTCACTTCATTACATGAATTATTGCTTATAGAGAGAAAGCCCTTGGGGTTCTCCTCTTTGCGTAATGAGGAGTGAGATGGGCTGTTGGAATGGATGCTGGCCTCAGAGCTGAGAGAACTTGCTTGCAGTCCTTGCAGGGAGACTTTGGGCGGCCACTGCACTGCCCTGGGCCTGCTTCCCAGCTGCAAAATAGAACTAGATGAACTGCCAGGTCCTCATCAAGCCACAATTTCAGGTGCTGCCGGATGCAGACGTGGAACTAAGCCATGCACGGGGAATTTAAAAAAGCTAGGACTGGCCCCCTCTTGGGAGGCCTTCACGTAGAAATTAAGCAAACAGCTGAAACTCCCTGAATCTCACGAACAGCTGAATCTCATAGGGAAGCCGTGTGGTTGGAGATGGGAAATCAATAGGCATGTTTGTCAGAAACTCTGGAAATCCTCTAGCCCAGGCTCCAACATGAAGCCACTGTGGCTAGTTACTTATTTCCCTTGAAACACATTTGGTTCAGGACAAAGGTGGACAGAATTCCAATAGTGACCGAGAAGATCAATCAAACAATCGATTCTGGGAGCACAAAATCTTAACACAGGGCCTCTCCCCCAGAGAGGATACATTCAGTCGGGGAGGACAGACACTCCGAGAATGGACTCCCACTAATGAAAAGAACAGCAAGGTGCTATGGCCTGAATTGTGCCCCTGTGTCCCCACGCCCAATTCAAGCTCCAACCCCCAGGACCTCGGTAGGTAACCGTGTTTGGAGATCAGGTCTTTAACGAGGTGATTAAGGTAAAATGAGGCCATTAGAGAGGGACCCTATTCCAAGATGACTGGTATGTTGTCATAAGAAGAGGAAAGGACACCAGGAATGTTCGTGCACAGAGAACAGGCCACGTCAGGACACAGCAAGGAGGAGGCCGCCTGGAAGCCGAGCAGAGAGGCCTCAGGAGACGTCAACCCTGCTAACACCTTGTTTGTGGACTTTTAGCATCCAGAACTGTGAAAAAATAAATTGCTGTTGTTTAAGCCACTCAGTCTGTGAGACTTTGTTATGGCAGCCTGAGCAAGCTAATACACAAAGGACGGGGGTCATTTCCCACTATGCTACGGAGGAGAGGAGACCCGAGGAGAGGAGAATTTCCTTCCAGTTGGAGTAGCGTGAAAAAGTATTTCAAAGAGGGGAGATCTGAGCTGGAGGAAACAGCCACCAGCGTGGCATGTGCCCTTATGTCTTAACTTTGGGCGTGAGTTCTCTTTCGGAAGAGCTGTGTGCGGATCCACTTAATTTTAGTTAAAACACAACCACAGTTTAAATGCCATTGGAGTGCTTTCTGTTTTAATGTATTAATATCTTACTGTGGCTCTTTTTGTAAAGTTATTCTCTCTTTGGGGTAAATCCACATTTGATTTAAGTGAAGTTTAACACGAAATCCATGGAAGAAAGCAGTGATTTCAATCCAGGTCAGGGGGAAGAGAAAAGGCAGCGTAACTCAGCGTCGTTTTGCTGAGGCTAACGGCAACGTTTGTTTGTAAGTCTCCAACACTTCTGGTTAAGCAGTTGGGGAAAGTGGCCCAGAAATGTTCTGAGTAGCTGAGAAGCCAGTCTAGAATTTTATCTTTACTGCAAATAACCTACCAAGAGAGGAACATATGCTGAAACAAGTTTGCTATACAGTGTATTATTATTTCGCCATTTAGACACTTTCAATGAAGTGCAGGGAGATTGGGCGTTTTGCTCCCACAGTAGGCACCAGAAGCCTGGTGCTCATGCGACAGGGCCTGGGCCCGAATCCTGGGGTGGACAGGAGGTTGTCCACGTGGCCTGAGACCCAGGGGCAGAGGTCACCCCAGGACCACTCCAGGAGGCAGTGGGAGGCTGAGTAACCGTGCTCCCCCATGGAATCAAAGCAAAACCCAGAATGTTAACTGCTTAGAATTAATATTTGTGCCGCGGTATTTCCTATCACACTCCTAGACATTATGTGTGACACGAATTCTAACCGGATAACTAGGACCCAACATTCTGGAGTAACAGACAGCAGAGTAAGGTATGCTTCGCCCCCACACCGCACACCCCCTGCCACCAGCTACTTTTAAGAAAATATCTGATTTAAATTAAAACTGGCTGTCACGTGGACCAAAGGAAATCGATGCAGAAAGTTCTTGAACAATCATATTGTGGGAAAAGCCCACATCCTCAGCCTCCTGCAGAATCAGGCTTCACTTGGGGGGCTGTTCACAGACCTCTGCACACCCACAGCTCCAGGCAGGGTGAGGACAACCTCCCCTCTCCTTCCCCAAGATCGGTGCTTCCGCGGGGACATTCCCCAGCTTGTCATCCACTTTGGATTTAGGTATCTCCTCAGTTAAATGATCTGTATTTTTTGTGCCCTCGTCCTCTCTTCCCATTCTCCCCTGCACCAAACCCAGCCATGCTTCTGTTTGCCCCAGTGCCCCCCTGTTGGCCCCTGGCCACCCCAGCTCTGGTTCCCTTGCCCAGGAGAGCATTTGCACAACCTCCACAGCCCACTGGATTCCGGGGCCCAGTCCTCTCTCGGTTTGGTTTCTTCCTCTCATTTCCCTGACTCCTCCTTTGTCCCTTTTGTCCTCTGACCTTTCCAGATTCTCCCTGCAGCCTCTCC